ATCCGTGATCAGCAGAGTTTACACGTCACGTTTTGGTAACGGTACGGTTCACTTGGAACCCCAACCGAAGTGGTACTAAAAAAAGTACCAGGTACCAGGTACTGTACCCAGTGGAAAACCCCCCAAAAGTGAACCGTACCGAGCCGTACCGTGCCGTACCATGCTGTGGAAAAGCGCCATTAGTCTCATCTGCCTCGAGGTGCGTTTTGGCAAAGCTCAGTCGTGACTGCATGTGGCTTTCTTGAGGAGTGGCTTTTCTTGCAACCCTCCAGATACATTTATGGAGAATTTGTGATATTGTTGTCACATGCACACACCGACCACTCTTTGTCATGAATTCCTGCAACTGCTTCAGAGTTGCTGTCGGCCTCTTGGTCGCCTCTGACCAGTTTCCATGACCAGTTTGGAGCGACGTCCTGGTCCAGGGAGGCTCTGTGTTGTACCAAATACAATAATAGACTTCACTGTGCTTCAAGGCATTGATAAAGCCTATGCATTTTTTTGTATCCATCTCCTGACTTGTGCCTGTGTAACCCCCCAGGTCCTACTACTCACACCTGCTCCAAGCAGGACTTGAACCCGGGTCACCAGCATGGGAGGCAGGCGCACTAACAAGGAGGCACAGTTACACCTGTCCACAACTTTATCCCGGAGATCTTTTGACAGTGCCTTGCCACCCATATTTGATTGTTTGCTTCAGTTGCACTACCAAGGACTGAAATGCTTTAGGAAAGCTCTTTTCATGCTGAGCTGATCAAAACGAGCACAGCCGAAAGTCAAATGGCTTTGTGTGCCATTGAGAAGGTGATTAGCTACACCTGATTGAGTTTACAAGTCATTTTAAGGTGGGCGGTGATCATTTTTCCAACTCAGTGATTCTGTTTTTTTTTTTGTTTGTTTTGTTTTTTTTCTGACATGTTGGTGTTCATGGGAGGCAGGCGCACTAACAAGGAGGCACAGTTACACCTGTCCACAACTTTATCCCGGAGATCTTTTGACAGTGCCTTGCCACCCATATTTGATTGTTTGCTTCAGTTGCACTACCAAGGACTGAAATGCTTTAGGAAAGCTCTTTTCATGCTGAGCTGATCAAAACGAGCACAGCCGAAAGTCAAATGGCTTTGTGTGCCATTGAGAAGGTGATTAGCTACACCTGATTCAGTTTAACAGTCATTTTTAGGAGGGGGGGTGATCCTGTTTTTGTTTTTTTTCTGACATGTTGGTGTTATATCTTTCACTTGGATGTCGTAAGTTGCAATGAATAAATACAGCTGGATAAAACAAAAACTGTGTCCGTCTTCATTTCAGACTGCAAAGAAACAAAACGTGATTATTTTAAAGGGGGTGATTATTTTCAGCTCATCTGGCCAGACGAGGTACTCTTGCCAACAATATAATAAACTGATGTAGACATAAAACAAACAATGCTGAAAAAAGCATATCTTATTTTAGTGAATGGGAAGCTGTGGCGGTTTTGTGCAGGATGAATTGTGGAAATACTCATATCTGCTGAATGATCTTTTATCTTCACATCCAAATGCAATCAAACGGATATCGTTTTCCTGAATCATGACTGATTTTCCTGCTTCTGTGAATCAAAATGATCAGCATACTTTCACACGAGCCATGAATGCACACTGTACAGATAAGAAATGAGCCTGTTATCAGTAATGTCTAGTTTCATCCTATCTTTGGTTTTTATATGAAGGTTCATTCTCAGAGGCATCTGATTTTATTGCGATAAATAAAATCCCAAGACAGCAGGTGGATTTCTTTAGAAAATGGACTGTCATAATCTCAAATATATATGTTCTCAATAAATATGTTTTGGATAATGAATGAGGTTCGTGATTTAGTGATTTAGTGATTTAGGCTCTCATTTAAACGTTTGGCCGTTCAACCAATTCTAATCCATCTGGACTGAAACCACATTGTGAAATGCAGAATGCAAGAAAAACTTATGTGGAAAATGATTTCTGGCGAAAATGTTGCTCATCTGTTCAAAGGAAAGTGAGCAGAATTGATGTTATTAAAGAAATTATTTATTAAAAACATCATCCATACATTCCAAATTTTTTCAGTGAAATGGCAATTACAAGCAACACCAAAAACTTTGATTATTTGTATCAGTGTAAAATGAAAATCAGTGTACAAGACGGTATCTGTAGTGTAGCATACACATGGTTCATCTTGAAGTAATTGTCAGGACAAACATGTATCAATCAAAATGAGAGGCTC